GGGGGGGAAAGGGGATGAGAGACTTTATTGTGGAGGTGTGGGGGGGAGGTTGTGGGGGGGGTGTGTTGTGGCGGGGTTTTGGGGGGGGTGGTGATGTGGGGTAAAATTTTGGTAGGGGGGTGGGGGGGTGGGCTTGAATCTTGGTGGGGTTTGGGTTGGGGGGGGTGGTGGGTTTTGCAATTTTGGGGGGTGGGTGGGGGGGGTGATGTAGGGTGTGCCTTGTGGTTGTGGGGTGGGGAGGTGTGTGGCTGTGCCAGTGGTGTGGGGGGTGGGGGGGTGTTGTGGCTGTGACAATTTTTGGCGTTTGGGGGGTGGGGAGGTGAGGGGGAGGTGTGTTTGGGTAAAGGGGAAAAGGTTGGTGACGCAGGGACTAAGAGGGGGAAAGTAGTAATGTGAAATTACTCTTTATTGTGGTGGGGATTATTTAGTGGGGAGTGGGGCTCAGGTTTGGAAAAAAAATGTAAAAAAATTTGTTTAGTTTGCAAAAAAAGGGGGAGTTGATTTTATTACTCTGGGGTTTTGTTTTGTAATGTACATCTTGGAGTTTTTGGGGGGGGAAAAAAGAAGTCCATTGTGGGTTTGTTTTGAGTAAAAAAACTTCCTTAAATTTTTATTATTTTGCAAAAATCATGCCCGTTTTTTTTTAAAAAGTGGCCGTTTCCCACCGAGGCAGGGTGACCCCAAAAAAGAAAGAAAATCCCCAAAAAAGAAATACTTTCATCATCATTCAACACTTTCACCACACTCACACATAATCACTATTCTTGCAGAGGTGCCCAGAATACAACAGTTTAGAAGTATATACGTACAAAGATACACAACATATCCCTCCAAACTGCCAATATCCCAAACCCCTCCTTTAAAGTGCTACTGATGTGTTGATTGCAATACAAAAGGCCTAGAATAATCATTCAACTTCCCCTGTGGTTGTATTGCATGTTGCATAGATTGTTCGCGATTATTGCATAACTACAGTATACATTAAGAAGTATATATATATTATTACAGTAGTAGTAATAGTGGCAGTATTGCATTCAAGAGTGAACACTAAATCCACAGGGGTTATGGAGTCTCAGGGAAATTAAAGGCAATCAGATTCGATCCAAGGTACGGGAGGGTAGTTCAGAGTCTTTGGATCAGAAACCCTTCAACACCTAGTTGTAATTACATTTATAATTACCTAGTTATAATTACATTTATAATTACCTGGATACCTGGAGGTTACCTGGATGCCTAGCTATAATTAGTAATAATTAAGTAGTTGTGATTATAGTGTCGAGTTAACATCGTAATAACACACCACGGTACGGGTAGGGGTTTGAACCCATGGCGAGTGACAGTCATCTGTAAAAACTAACTCATTTGTGGTGACATTGGTGGCCCATGTTAACCTCACTATGGTGTATAAATACACCTAACTGGGTGGATCTTGTTGTGGCCAGCTGGCCAAGTGGCTTACGCGCTGGCCAGGAGTTTTGCGACTTATTCGTATTATATACATCATCGCAGACAAATCGCAGATTGGTGGGGATCGAATCCGTGGGAGGTGAGTTCTGTTTGCAGTCGTGTTATTACGATTTCCCGGTACGAATGGAAACATTGGGACGTGTTTACTTAAAGACACCTGCTGTCCATGTTCGCCCATCAGGAAAGTAGGTACCTGGGTGTTAGTCGACTGGTATGCGTCGCAGCTTGGGGACAGAATTGACCTAATTTACCTGAAATGCTCTACATAACAAGGGGCTTTCTATATAGTAGTATGTCATTGAAGGGACTTGAGCTAGAGCACTCCACAGACGTGATGGTCATTTGTGGTCACATTGAGACCTATGTTAACCTCCCTATGGTGCATAGAAATATACCTAGTTGAATTAATTTTATTAGGGCCAGCTGGCAAAGTGGTTAGCACACTCGCCTGCCATGGGTTCAATTCCCACCCGTTCTGTAATTTCGCTGAACTTTCTATCGTTTCAGAACATTCTTGGCCAGGTGTGGGCTTCAAGCGGGTGCATTGTATTTTATATTAGGCCTGACATAGTCGTTAAGGTCCCTGAAGGTAATTTTTATATTGGCATATGCTGCCAGTGTTAAGTGGATCATGTGCACCTCTCTTCTATACTCGTACTGTATAGTTGGTGTGATGTTCACACTCATATTTCCCATTTAGTGATATTCTTAGTTTCACTCTGATTCAGCTTGTTCTGTTTCTCCCCTTATTTTGCACGACTGCACTTGCTTGGATTGAACTCCAATAGCCACTTGTTTGATCACCCCTGCAGCCTAACCAGGTATTTTTTAAAAAAGCCTGTCGTTCTTTCCTCATATTTTCATTAGCCTAACATTATTTGCAAACAGTAAAAAGTAGGCTTAGGTCCCCTCTCGCAGATTATTTACACATGTTAAGATTAATAATGGGCCTAGTAGAGATCCTTGGGGGACGCAACTTGTTCTTCTCGAAACGTCAGCCCGTTAGCCTTTTGTCATCTGTTCTTCAGGAATTCCTTGATCCATCAGAGATATCTTGAAATATGCGAGACCTCTCCTACTCAGGAATAGGCGAGATATCTTGCAATATGACAGGTCTTTCTTGTTATATAAGAGGTAAGGTATCTTGCAATGTAGTACGGGTTCTCTCCTCCACATAGTTAGTGGAGAACTGATAAAAACTAATATTGATCACGCAGGAACTTTCACCGGTCTCCTGGCTGGCTATCATCCGTTCTTCAAACAAACAGTCTAAAAATACACTACCTCCCTCCACCCATAATTTAGGGGAGATACGCTACGGGAAAGGGCTCCATATGTTGCTGAGTCTTAACCCTAGGAATTGGTGCTATCCTCTCTTTCCTCGGATCTAACTTGATTATCTTCCATTCCCAAGGCGTTGTCCGATCTCCTACGTGTTTAGCGCTTCCCCATGATTATAATGTACGGATTCAACAGGGACTAAAAAGGCACCAACACGTCTTCACAAGTTTCTTTCTCCTATGTGCCGGTTATTTATCTACGGATCCTTCAGTTTAATTCTTCCACATGTATATAATAATAATAATTGGAACGTGAGTACTCTTGATATAATTATCCTTTATAATAACATTTCAAGTCATCCTGCGCACTATGTAGGTAGGATAATATGATTTATCGTGGACATTACAGAATGTGTTTATCGCTGCGTGAGAGACCAAGACTACCTTAGGACTCTTAATATATGATCTGTCATGTGTTGTATATGAACGCTAGCATCTCCTTAGATTAGTAAGTTTATTCAGGTATACACAAATACAGGAACATAGATCATCATACATAGCAGCATATGTGTAAAGTACCTAGGATAACCCAGAGTCAGAGTGACTTATTTCCATTGGGGTCCTTTTGCCTTATTATTGTAAAATAAAGGTGATAATATCTTATTATTATTCTGTAGTGGAGATAACATCTTATTATCATACTATTAAGACTGTCTACTACACGAGGGTCATTAAGATTGTCTACAATACGAGGGTCATTAAGACTGTCTACAATACGAGGGTCATTAAGACTCTACAATACGAGGGTCATTAAGACTGTCTACAATACGAGGGTCATTATTAGGAATAAGGTAAAATTACACGTGTGTTAGCTAAAAAAATAAATAATTTACGACCTTTATAACCTCTATCTCAACCGAACAGGACTAACTAGTATATACAAGCGTTCAGAAAAGATAGATATATTTCATGTTTGTCGGTCGACAGTTAAGAGACCGGACAAAGAACTAGAGCTTACCACCCTCCTACCCAATATGTAGGTAATTTTACACACACACACACACACACACACACACACAAACACACACACACACACATACACGAGACAAGCATAATAGTAAGAAGCGAGTTGACTTAATAAGTAGTCTGTCCACTGTTGCTAATGTAAACGCCCTGTGCTGTACCTGTACTTCCTTCACAAGGGTTGTGATATTGGTGAGTGGGATGGTGGGGGTTGCAAAAGGTTGTGGTGGTGATAATGGTAGGACATTGTGGTGGTACTGGTGAAAGGCTGTGTGATACAAGAGATTGTAAAGCTGGTTAATGGTGGTTGTGTTCAGAGGTTCTGGTGGTGATAAGGGGATTGTGGTGTTGACGTGAGGTTGTGAAGGTGGTGGGTATGGTGAACAGGTTATAATGTTGATGAGTGGTTGTGGTGGTGGGAGGTGGTTGTGGTGGTGGGAGGTGGTTGTGGTGGTGAGAGGTGGTTGTGTGGGAGAGAATAACCGGTCTTCGGAGAACACCTGAGGCAACATAAGCCCAAGAAGTGTTACACCCCTCGTAGGGCCAACATTTACACCATCTCTACAACACTCACTTTCACCCTACATTAATGCTGACATAATTCATCATATCTAAACTTTGGGGCTACAAATCACATCCATATTGAACGTAATACTAATAATAAATCTCTTATAGTTTTCATAATGTTTCACGACTCCGGCGTCGACCTTTTCGTCCTTCGGAGGTGATCAATACACGTGTGCATGTGACCAGTGTGTGCGCGCGGTTGCCACTCCTCCTTGTCTGACAGTTTTCCACACCTTGGCTGATAACACGGAGCCACGGCCAGGAATTCTGTGCCCCGCCCTGGCTTGACCTGTGCCAGGTGTGACACCAGGTGTGAGGGCAAGTCAACACGAAGGAGAGTATCGTTTTCCCAGATTCCAGAGGAGATCTTCCTTGGGTGTATTCCGTCTGGAACCAACTGGTCCTCACGTTTGCGGCGTGAGCGGCGCCAGTGTGTGTGACAGTGTGTGAGAGTCAGTATCAGGAGTGACGTTGTGTAAGGTGCGTCACGATACACTTCTCGAGTGAAGCCAGTACTGAGAGTGCCTTCTGTGAGAAGCTGTGGGCGTTTGTAGGCCCCAGCAGGTCCCTGTGCGAGTCTCAGCACCCGGAGGTCCCCGTGAGTGTGTCTGCACCACCAAGTCGCTGGCAAGATATTCTTCGAGAATCCCTGCACACGCCATAATGCCTGTCATTTTTAAGCTAGACAAAGAGCAGACCGATGGGTAAGTTGTGCTCCCCGGCCCAACACACACACACACTATTCTCTCGGTAATAATGTTGGTAGAATTACCGACGATATCAACCTCGGTCACACGATAACATCTTTCCACCACATCCCTGTAACAAATCTCATAATACAGACTTGTCTGTCACCATAGAAACTGTCTTTTCTGTCACCATAGCATCTGTCTTGTCTGTCACCATAGAGACTCTTTGTCTTGTCTGTCACCATATAAACTCTTTGTCTGCCACCATAGACTATCACCATATAAACTGTTTTGTGTCACCATATAAACTCTTGTCTCTCATTATAAACTACTATCTCACCACAGATAATCACCATATAAACTGTCTTGTCTGTCACCATAAAAACTTTTCTCTCACCATAAAATCTGTCTTGTCTGTCACTATAGAAACCATCCTGTCTGTCTGCCACAAAATTATTGGTTTGTTATTGATGTGGTCCTGGGAACATGAGAAATATTAGCCAGCGTACTGTTGATAATAGTGAAGGAAAAAGCACACTGCAATATACGCTTTTTTGGTGACTACGTTTTGCCCTGTCGATAACTTCAGCTTTAGACAGCGAAACACGACTTGATAAAGCTCTAGACAACGAATTATGAGTTGATAAATCTCTACATAGAACGACAATGATTTGACACTGCTCTCCACAGAACGTAATATAACAAAGCTCTAGACAGCGAAACATAACTTGATAAAGCTTTAGGCAGCGAAACATGACTTGATAAAGCTCTAGACAGCGAAACATGACTTGATAAAGCTCTAGACAGCGAAATATGACTTGATAAAGCCCTAGACAACGAAACATGACTTGATAAAGCTCTGGACAGTGAAACATGACTTGATAGAGCTCTGGACAGGGAAACATGACTGTAACCCAGACTTGAGTGTCCCACTACCTGTAACTCAGACCTGAGTCCCACTACCTGTAACTCAGACCTGAGTGCCCCACTACCTGTAACTCAGACCTGAGTGTCCCACTACCTGTAACTCAGACCTGAGTGTCCCACTACCTGTAACTCAGACCTGAGTGTCCCACTACCTGTAACTCAGACCTGAGTGTCCCACTACCTGTAACTCAGACTTGAGTGTCCCACTACCTGTAACTCAGACCTGAGTCCCACTACCTGTAACTCAGACCTGAGTGTCCCACTACCTGTAACTCAGACCTGAGTGTCCCACTACCTGTAACTCAGACCTGAGTGCCCCACTACCTGTAACTCAGACCTGAGTGTCCCACTACCTGTAACTCAGACCTGAGTGTCCCACTACCTGTAACTCAGACCTGAGTGTCCCACTACCTGTAACTCAGACCTGAGTGTCCCACTACCTGTAACTCAGACCTGAGTGTCCCACTACCTGTAACTCAGACCTGAGTGTCCCACTACCTGTAACTCAGACCTGAGTGTCCCACTACCTGTAACTCAGACCTGAGTGTCCCACTACCTGTAACTCAGACCTGAGCGTCCCACTACCTGTAACTCAGACCTGAGTGTCCCACTATCTGGAACTCAGACCTGAGTGTCCCACTATCTGGAACTCAGACCTGAGTGTCCCACTACCTGTAACTCAGACCTGAGTGTCCCACTACCTGTAACTCAGACCTGAGTGTCCCACTACCTGTAACTCAGACCTGAGTGTCCCACTACCTGTAACTCAGACCTGAGTGTCCCACTACCTGTAACTCAGACCTGAGTGTCCCACTACCTGGAACTCAGACCTGAGTGTCCCACTACCTGGAACTCAGACCTGAGTGTCCACTACCTGGAACTCAGACCTGAGTGTCCACTACCTATAACTCAGACCTGAGTGTCCCACTACCTGTAACTCAGACCTGAGTGTCCCACTACCTGTAACTCAGACCTGAGTGTTCCCACTACCTGTAACTCAGACCTGAGTGTCCCACTACCTGTAACTCAGACCTGAGTGTCCCACTACCTGTAACTCAGACCTGAGTGTCCCACTACCTGTAACTCAGACCTGAGTGTCCCACTACCTGTAACTCAGACCTGAGTGTCCCACTACCTGTAACTCAGACCTGAGTGTCCCACTACCTGTAACTCAGACCTGAGTGTCCCACTACCTGTAACTCAGACCTGAGTGTCCCACTACCTGTAACTCAGACCTGAGTGTCCACTACCTGTAACTCAGACCTGAGTGTCCCACTACCTGTAACTCAGACCTGAGTGTCCCACTGCCTGTAACTCAGACTTGAGTGTCCCACTACCTGTAGCTCAGACCTGAGTGTCCCACTACCTGTAACTCAGACCTGAGTGTCCCACTACCTGTAACTCAGACCTGAGTGTCCCACTACCTGTAACTCAGACCTGAGTGTCCCACTACCTGTAACTCAGACCTGAGTGTCCCACTACCTGTAACTCAGACCTGAGTGTCCCACTACCTGTAACTCAGACCTGAGTGTCCCACTACCTGTAACTCAGACCTGAGTGTCCCACTACCTGTAACTCAGACCTGAGTGTCCCACTGCCTGTAACTCAGACTTGAGTGTCCCACTACCTGGAACTCAGACCTGAGTGTCCCACTACCTGTAACTCAGACTTGAGTGTCCCACTACCTGGAACTCAGACCTGAGTGTCCCACTACCTGTAACTCAGACCTGAGTGTCCCACTACCTGGAACTCAGACCTGAGTGTCCCACTACCTGGAACTCAGACCTGAGTGTCCCACTACCTGGAACTCATACCTGAGTGTCCCACTACCTATAACTCAGACCTGAGTGTCCCACTACCTGTAACTCAGACCTGAGTGTCCCACTACCTGTAACTCAGACTTGAGTGTCCCACTACCTGGAACTCAGACCTGAGTGTCCCACTACCTGGAACTCAGACCTGAGTGTCCCACTACCTGTAACTCAGACCTGAGTGTCCCACTACCTGTAACTCAGACCTGAGTGTCCCACTACCTGGAACTCAGACCTGAGTGTCCCACTACCTGTAACTCAGACCTGAGTGTCCCACTATCTTGAACTCAGACCTGAGTGTCCCACTACCTGTAACTCAGACCTGAGTGTCCCACTATCTTGAACTCAGACCTGAGTGTCCCACTACCTGTAACTCAGACCTGAGTGTCCCACTACCTGTAACTCAGACCTGAGTGTCCCACTACCTGTAACTCAGACCTGAGTGTCCCACTACCTGTAACTCAGACCTGAGTGTCCCACTACCTGTAACTCAGACCTGAGTGTCCCACTACCTGTAACTCAGACCTGAGTGTCCCACTATCTTGAACTCAGACCTGAGTGTCCCACTACCTGTAACTCAGACCTGAGTGTCCCACTATCTTGAACTCAGACCTGAGTGTCCCACTACCTGTAACTCAGACCTGAGTGTCCCACTATCTTGAACTCAGACCTGAGTGTCCCACTACCTGTAACTCAGACCTGAGTGTCCCACTATCTTGAACTCAGACCTGAGTGTCCCACTACCTGTAACTCAGACCTGAGTGTCCCACTACCTGTAACTCAGACCTGAGTGTCCCACTATCTTGAACTCAGACCTGAGTGTCCCACTACCTGTAACTCAGACCTGAGTGTCCCACTATCTTGAACTCAGACCTGAGTGTCCCACTACCTGTAACTCAGACCTGAGTGTCCCACTATCTTGAACTCAGACCTGAGTGTCCCACTACCTGTAACTCAGACCTGAGTGTCCCACTATCTTGAACTCAGACCTGAGTGTCCCACTACCTGTAACTCAGACCTGAGTGTCCCACTACCTGTAACTCAGACCTGAGTGTCCCACTATCTTGAACTCAGACCTGAGTGTCCCACTACCTGTAACTCAGACCTGAGTGTCCCACTATCTTGAACTCAGACCTGAGTGTCCCACTACCTGTAACTCAGACCTGAATGTCCCACTACCTGTAACTCAGACCTGAGTGTCCCACTACCTGTAACTCAGACCTGAGTGTCCCACTATCTTGAACTCAGACCTGAGTGTCCCACTACCTGTAACTCAGACCTGAATGTCCCACTACCTGGAACTACCATAAGCAGACGGAAGATAGAGCCTTTATCTATCTGATTGTAAGAAAAATCAGATCTTTCTGATCTCACACAATATAAACTTACCGATCTGTCACGTTACTGTAACATGCAAATTTACCTCATTACAAAAGGATTCTGATTTGTGATTGGGAATTTCTCGAAAGAACAGGCCCTCAAGAATTATAAAATCCAGAATTATTATTATTATTATTATTATTATTATTATTATTATTATTATTATTATTATTATTATTATTATTATTGGGGCCATATAGTGCCTGGGGATGGGAGATAGTCAGATCTGATGGAGGGAAAGAGAGAAGATGCAGTTCCCTGGAAAAAGCCCACTGTGTGGGCGAAACGTTGTCAATAAAGATCACATTAAACTGCATATGTGTTTATGTTTCCATTGTGTCGGTATTTTATACCAATTATTTTCAGTTCCCTGGATCATATAGGAAGCCTCGCTAAAACTTAAATTAGTAGTAACGAGCCACTGAACAGATTATCATATAATACACGAGTAACCCGGGTTATTTGTGTATTGTTCCAGTCACGGTATTGTTCTGGATATTCTTGATCATCGTATAATCAAGATTAGAGTCAGGTTTTTCTTTTTTTTATCGTCCTGTCAAATTAAACTAGGCGAGTATAGGTGTATGTTTAGGCTTGCGTTCGTAGTATACAAATACAAAAAAAAAATTACAATGATACTGCCGGAACAAGTGCAGAAGTGTTCATGGGGGAAACTCGAGTAACTAGGCTGTGATGGATATGTGGGCGAGCGGGCCTCTAGCAGCAATAGCCAGGTTGATCAGGCAAACATCAGAAAAACCTGGCTCATGGCCAGAGAACAGGAAATTTCTCAAAAACCTTCCAAGGTCACAGGCACACGCTATGTACACATAAGTACATCATTTAGTATATTTAAAAAAATAAGGTTATTAAAACTAGGCTAGTATAATCAGGTGA